GGTACACTTGTACCCTTCGAATCTTCGCTGTCTCCGCGCAATTAGGGATATTTTAATTAACTTTATGAACAAACGACTATACAGAATCCTATTCTGTTAATTGAATAGGTGGCTCCGCCCGAATGGTACTCCGTTTGTTTGAAAAGGCCATTTATTTAATACCTCCCGCCCGTTTGCGCGTTAATTGATATTGCCGTCAATATACGGCATTTAAGTCGCTAGTATTCATAAATTTATAAAAAATGTTTGTTTATTGATCGTTACGTCAATTACAATGCACACGTTAAATTGGCTTTTAATTTGATTAGTTACATGCATAGCTTCCGTTCATCGATTTCCTGTATATTCTCACGTTTTTTTGTTTATACCAAATGTATCGGAAAAATTAAGACGAATGTTTTCCAATTCGTTTTATTAAGGAAATGAAATATCATTTTATCTGATTCGAGCCTCGAGACGCCTCCATACGTGTCCTGAATGTGTAGTTATTCATCCCGAACACCCGAGTTATATTACCGTAGCATTATTCATAGAAATGTCAACTCGTATTTATGTGTGTTTTGCACGCGTTCGTTCGCTGATACAATCGTCATAAGCTGATGATCTTGGTCGTTTTATGTGTGAAAGGATTGCTTTACACAGGATTCGACCAACTGTATTTAAGAATGGAATTAATTTGAATTAATCATAAGAACACTTATGGGTTCTCATAAATTTTGTTATGCCTTTGATATAATTTCCATTGCCTCTTCATTAAGCAACGACTTGACTGAGCTCCCGATGTCCATAAGCGACGGTAACCGCATACCACCGGATGAATAGTAAACGAATGCTTTCGATGGCGATAAAAATACGATTGAAGTCTTCATTGCATTATAATGTTATAAGAATTTTTGTCAAACGCTATTTATGAGGCTATGAAATTGTTAGCTGAGTTGTGATACTGCTAAAGTTCAATTCTGCGAAGCAAGACAAGATGGCGACACGAATTTCAGTGTTAATTAATGCGTCTCGATGTAATTTCGTGCCGCCCTCATCCACCCGACTTTCGTGTACCGTCATATTAAATTAATAGTTTCCTTCCCTCGCCAAATGCAAAGTCGGATCTGTAGTATGATCTCGTTTGTTTTCTTTTGTTTAAGATTGTATTTACGGAGGAAATTTATGTACAGTCATAATAACATGAGGTTTTGCGTTCGATACACGATATTGATTAAAACAAAATTTCGGTTTTTTTTTTCAAATTTTGTTTTAAAAAGAAGGTAGCTTACGTATGCATTCGCTAAACGAAACCTATGAAGTCGGTATTCGATTTTTTAAGCGATTTTAATAGTTCACTATTTAAAAAAAAAGTGTGTTTCTTGTTCAATTCGTGTGATATTTTTATTACATTGTAAAATAGACATGTTCCGATTAAGTATATATAGCAATGGCCCTGGTTTTAGATCATTTCCTTTTTTTAATTTTGGTGATAAGTTGACATTTTATGAATGATTTAGTTTGGCAATCGCTGCAATAAACAGATTCATTATTTATTATTATTTGCGGGCAAACGCAGTTTAGCCGGTGACACTGTCCTGCTGAAGCTACATTGTGTCAAGATCCATATCGTCAAGTTAAGATCATAGGAACTCCGTTATCGTGTTCCTCTATCGAATTTTACGAAGCTGCAAGGGTTCTCAGCCGACTTTTCTCACTTTTGTAATTGGTTTTCACAATGATAAATTGTTTTTCATTTTGTGTTGAGCTCCATTTTTAATAACATAAACAATCATCGATGACAGCTGTCAAATTTGAGAGCTGTCACTAGCACGAAAAAAAAGTACACAAAATTACAACTCTTGTGCACCCCTATTGAGACAGCTGTTATGTAATTTGTATTGTCTGAGTCCTGTGGATCAAATCGTAGTAATTGAAATTCTACCTCAATACTAATGACCGATCGATCTGAATTTTTAATAAGCGTCCTTAATATTCATGATAATACGATTATTTATAATAAATATATTCAGTATAACTGGAAATTCAAGAGACCGCGAAATGGATTACATTTTTTTATTCGTATCTACTCAATAGATGTATCAAATGGCCTGACTAATGCCGCCATTGAAAAAGTCAAAATCCATCAGGTCGCCTGCGGAAAAGGGCAGATTACTTTTTTCAAACCCCTCGATGAATAAAAGCAAAAAAGTAAAAAGAGTTGACAAGTAGAATACCGAACACTTTCAAATAAATCCTAATCGATAATGGCGATTACAACCAACGCCATATCAATACATTATCACTGAAATCTAGGCATCCAATTAAAACTTTGTCGCCGTGGAATCGTGAAGCAAACATGAAAACCCTACCTGAGTCAGTGTCGAGGACTGTGTGACATTAGAGTAGCTAAAAATTGTACGTCGTTAACGGTACACCACCCGAGTTAAGGTAAAAGCTTCAAGCACGTCGAGGACTGCGGCATTAGGGTGGATAAAAATGATAGGTCGTTAGCGTTTTCCCCTCAGCACTTGGACGCATGTTGCGGTATAGCCTTGCTTCTCTATTTGAGCAATGGGGGGAGTATGTGATTTTTAGCTTATAGTACATTATTTTCATCATATTTATGTTACTTTACAATTAAAATAGCCTAAGTTAAATAAATGCTAATAGTTGGCCTATGCTTGGATTTGTAGAAGGGGTATTGTCCGAATCGATGGACCCCCGAAGTGTGGACGTTTTCACTCAGTGCGCTCAACCATGTCGCGAGCTTAGCATTGCCTATTTAAGTTGTATCTTTTTTCTGTTAGTTATAATGAAAATTCCAACGCCGAGTGTTCACAGATACTCACTGCTAGAACTGTTAACACACTTTAGGCGAGAAACGTGTGTTTATCCATACTGTATATATCGATACTACCTGGAGCCACTGCGTTCATCCACAGTGCGTTTCCAGAGATGTTTTTTGCCACGTATCATCCGGCTTTGGAATGAGCTCCACTCCACGGTGTTTCCCGAGCGCTATGACATGTCCTTCTTCAAACGAGGCTTGTGGAGAGTACTTAACGGTAGGCAGCGGCTTGGCTCTGTCCATGGCTTTGTTGAAGTCCATGGGCGACGGTAGCCACTCACCATCAAGTGGGCCGTTTGCTCGTCCGTCTAAAAGGGCAATAAAAAAAAATTGTTTGTCACCAATTGGTCCTCAAGCGTGGGAGACGACAAAAACAAAGACGGAACGGACGCAGTGGGTACTGCGCATTATCTATTGCGTAAAATAAATAGAGCATCTTCAGGAAATATAAGGAAAGAATATCTGAAAACATCAATTATATCAAAAGATATACGTAAGTCTTACGTAAATACTATTTTGACGCGAAAATGCCGATAATGACCCAATGACAAAAGCGTTAACAATTTATTACCATTGTCAAAACAAAATAACGACATTTTAAAAATGAGAATCAATCAGATGTTATATTACTTTTACAATGTAAGAAAACTCCTTTATGAGTCGTATGGAGTTGATTACGTACATCTCGAAATAAGGAGAACTGTGGGCGTAATTGGATCAATCATAGGAGCCATTGTTTCGCGTTCACGTCACATAATTTGAAGCCCAGACTTCGTTTTCATAACAAAGAAATTATTCTTTTTTCTTTCGTAAGAACCTCGAGTCGTTAAAATTTGCTTTTAAATGGATTATTTTCATTACAGTCAGCATTTTCGGGTCGGAAAAAGACCCGTCGTTGCGAGTGGTACTAAGGCTATCATAGGGCACATGTAATGCAGCTCAAATTTTGTCTTGACACATCAAGTCGAAGTTCCAATGAAATTTAATACAACAGAAACAGTCATTGCAATGCAAACCAGAACCCTAGTACCCAATCGTGAATATTATAGACTTAAGGAAATGTACAGCTTAATAAAGATGCTATAAGGAATTTATATTTCCTATGATCTCTTTTCTACCATTGCACGACCCCTGTTGGTTGATTCCTGTTGCCTTATTACCATGTTATTCTGTTTGACTATAGCCATTTTTTATTATAGTATTTTCTACGGTTTTCCCGAGACGTAAGCATAATTTATGACGACTACTTTAAAGGCTTAATCTCGAACTTTTTTATTGTCTTCATATTACGTATTATTTCCAACGTTTCCCATACTTTACAGTTAACTTATAGCTTACCGTAAACTTTACAGTTGAAATACGAAAGATCTATGATAAAAATTTCGACCAATGTTATTTTACAAATGCATGATCGGTTATCTGTCGAGAACGTTTTGCTTTACGCAAAATAATATTTACTGGATAAGAAATATTTGTCGCTATGAGTTATCTAAATAAGGATTCTAAGTAATTATACTGTTTTCGTTGGGTAATTAATTTTTTTATTTAGGTACATGCTCTCAAGCGAAAGTGCCAAAACGTCCATTGGAATTCATGATGCTGTGCACACCAAAGCATCTAAATACCGAAGATCGCATAAAAAGTACCACGTTACTTAGTAACAAGTCATTCTCGCTCACGACTCGGTCGTGCGCGGACGTGCTTTCCGATCCGTGGCCCGCTTGCGAGCTGCGTCTCTGAACTCACAGTTGTGCTCGACAGTGTAGTGACCGTGAATACATCGTGCGTACAATTCGGTAGTGCGGACGTGCCGATCCGTTGGTCGCTTGCGATCTGCGTATCGAGGTCCATTTTTGTGCGCTAAAGTTTTGTAANAAAAAAAAAAAAAAAAAGTAACAAGTTTTACACGAAATAATATAAATTAGTTTTATTCGTATCAATGTAAACAAGTTTCGCGCTTAACATTGAGGAAGACACGTGAATTGTTACGCGGAGGCAACGTGTTGTTAAGCCATTCAAATGTTTAGGCTTCATCTCATCTCGGTTCATTGTTCGCTGCGTTTCGTATTATCGTTACAATCGACGGCTGCTTCGGAGGTCGCGATGGCTAATTGAGTCGGTCGGGCGCGGAGAGCTCTCGCTGCGACCGGCAACCAGTGGCTTCGTGGGAACCGGCCCGCGCACGCGTCTGCTGCGCCCACGGTAGATCGGCGCGATCCGAGCCGATACGATGCGCGCGACCATCGCCGGTGACAATTTCGCATTTCGAAATCGCGCTACCGCGGCCGGCTTCGTTCCGTTGCATCCAGTGCTCGACGTATAGAATGGAAACGATGACCTCGTCTCCGCTGCTCGTGTTTTCGTAAAGGTGGTTTTGCGTTTGTTCAATCGGTTAACGGGTTAATTGTTTTTCTTGTTTTTGGTTTGCGTCCGAATTCGCCGGCCGTTCGCCTATGTTTTCCGATAGTGACCCAGATTGCGGTTCGGAGGTGTATGTTTCGACATTTCCAACAGCGCACCGGGTGTTGTTAAACGCGCGATAACAGAGACCCATTGTGCACGTGTTTCAGTTCATTGCGAACACACATACGCGCTGCAAGTTCGTGAATGTTATTATTACGGCGCGGCCGTCGGGCTTTGTGTTTCTGTATAATCTCCGATGCGTTCGGAGACAAACAAAGCATGTCCGTGTGTATGTTATCTCGAAAGAAAACAGACACGGCTCTGATGAGATGAACAAACCAAACTAAACACACGTTCCGATGGTGGATATAAGAAATGTTATTAAAGTATAATTTTGACCTTGTAGAATAATTAGCAAAAAGTCACGGCGACACCGCATACGCCTAATAAGTAAACTCAAATATGATAAAGCAATTGTTATGATTTACAAACTAAATTGACGAATGATTGCAATATGTTTACTAGATTTATCGCATTTGTCTAGCCACACCGGTGCCAATGAGCGATTGGCGTTGTTGGACTTCAGAAGCACCGCCCCTTCGTCAATATGTCAATAAACACAAGCCTCATGTGTGAAAACGTTTTGTTTCTACTAGAGGTCCCGCAGTAATCGAAATTCGACTATAATTAATTGGAATTATAAGTTTGTACACTATTATGATCGTATTTCATAGTTCTATAATCACAAATTTCGCCAAGGCCCACACTATAAAAAAATATTAATAAAGACAAACAATATTTAATCTATTCTCAATTTGACCACAAACGTCAAGAACAAAAGTTTGACAACAAATAGTATGCATGCGTGAGTGCGTCAAATACATGGTATGTAGTGTGTGTGTAATGTTTTCTTTATTGATTTAATGTATTTTTTATGCATTATTTTAAAAAAATATTAGCATTGTGCACTTCTTCTCTATATACTCTATAAGTGTGGAAAATTTCATAATCCTCCCTCCGCGCAATTTACGTAAAAAGGGAGACGAAAGTTTTTGCTTCACGTATTAATATATAGATATTAGTTTGAGTTTGTAAACAAAGGTTGGTTGGGAGGTAAGCGGTTAGGCTAATAGCCTTTCGAAGCCTTGGTCCGCGGTGTACGCGATGACTCACCACGGCAACACCATGCGCACATGTACCTACGTGTGTTTTTGTTCGGCAAGCGAGAAACGAAACGGAAATTACTAAAAAAATTAATCTATACCTGCTTATAATAGAAATATGTGAAAATTGATATGTTTTCACGTGATAATGACTGAACGGATTTACATGTAAATGGTTTACGATCTGGATTAGTAAATAGGATAATTTTTACTGTTGTATAATGACCCAGAAAACGCAGGGTATATCTATACAAATAAATAAAATTGGGGTGTCTGTTTGTAATATTAAATAACCGCTTTTTAATAAATGCATATGTATGTATACAAAGAACATACACCAAAAATGTATTCTTAAAATTTTTCGTATGTCTGTCGGTCTGTCTGTCTGTTTGTTCCGCCTAATCTCTGGAACGGCTGGACCAATTTTGACGAGACATTCTCTGATAGGTAGCTGATAATATAAGGAGTAACTTAGGCTACTTTATTAGACGAACTTCGCCCTACCGCGTTATCCGCGGTACGACAATTACCGCGGGTAATACCGCGGGGTTCAGCTAGTCTGTAATAAATACGACATTTGGTTCGTTGGTTCATGTTTTTACATATCAAAATGTATAAATCGATCGGTCGTTTCTGGATCAGAGACTATCATCATCAGCAACCCTTTATCCCGTGAAAATGCAACGTGTATAATTGTTTTAGTGAAACCGCGGGACAGGTCTAGATTAAATGTAATTTTCAAAAAGCTACATTCAAAATTATCTTATCAAAACTCATACATAGTTTCTTTTCAACACAAACAAGACAAAGTAATAGAATATGATTTTAATTGAGTACAAAAATTGGCGTTTGCAAAAAAATATCATTACTATAACAAATTTTTTTTATTGCTTAGGTGAGTCGACGAGCTCACGGCCCACCTGGTGTTAAGTGGTTAAGTTGTGGTCTCAAGTATAGTTACAACGGCTACCCTACCCTTCAAACCGAAATGCATTACGGTTTCACGGCAGAAATAGGCAGGGTGACGGTACCTATCCGCGCCGACTCACAAGAGGTCCTACTAATATTATGTGAGATAAAGTTAAAGTAATAAATATTTATATATTTTAGTTCATTCACACTGGCAAAAACCACAATAAATCTCGGCCTTGATACGGACCTCGATATCACCTATTACGAGTATTTATTGACTATAATAATTAGTATTCTGTATAAGGCTTTATAGAATGTAAGTAATCTGTGATTTTTTGTTCTATACTAAAATGAGTTATTGGTGCAACTTCGCATAAACCTGTTTTGACTTGTATCTGATTCAAAATGGTATTGGCATAGTCAAAAAAAAAAAGCATAACTTTTAATTGATTGTACCCTTCAGGTTTCCATATAAGGAATTTCGAGTCTTGATTTATATTTCTTTATTGTATCGAAAATTTGGGAGTGAAAATGCACTAGTTAATACATCCTCCGTTCTGTTATCCGAACACGGAATGCCGGATGTGAAAATCTAATAAAGACACCAGATATACTGGTGATAGGAAGACGTCTTGCGAGTCCGCACGGGTAGGTACCACCACCCCGCCTATTTCTGCCGTGTAACAGTAATGCGTTTCGGTTTGAAGGGTGGGGCAGGCGTTGTAACTATACTGCGAATTTAGAACTCATATCTCAAGGTGGGCGGCGGCATTTACGTTGTAAATGTCTATGGGCACCGATAACCACTTAACACCAGGTGGGCTGTGAGCTCGTCCACCCGTATATGCAGTAAATAAAAGATATTCAGTCGGGGAAAACAAAACTAACTAATCATCACCTATGAATTTTTGTTTCGTTTAGAAATCAAGAAACTATGTCTTTTTGTATTACACAAGAAGAAAGCCGCGGAAAAATGCAAACATTCACATCACACATACGCAAGTACCAATGTTTATTGAAGAACTCTTTGTTGAACATGACAAACGAACCGTATCCTTAAATGAATGGCGTTAAAGTTTGTTATCTATTGAAAGATTTTTTTCTTGTGTAACATCCCGTATATATGTAATTCTATAATCGTAAAAAGTTTATTAGCATTTTTTAAGAAAATTCACAATATTTTTTAGCAGTACAGTTCAGAGTCAATAGTCCTGCCTGCTGGTGACAGCTCATAATGAATAATGCCCTTCCAATCCCACCACACACAGCATCTTATATTTCAAGGTGGGTGGCGCATTTACGTTGTAGATATCTATGGGTTCCAGTAACCACTTAACACCAGGTGGGCTGTGAGCTTGTCCACCCATATAAGCCATAAAAAACATAAGCGTAACATACAACAATGTACATATTATAATATCATAATAGTATTAAAAATTTTACACCTATTGCAGGAATTTTGTATTGTAGGACTCCGCTTCCAACAGTCAGGAAATAATACACAGATTGCAGTAGTTTACTTAATTCTGTATTGCTTTATTTGTAATTCCACTTGTACAATCTTTAGACATCTGCTCACTCCTCAATACACTGCTTTCTGTCCCGTTTTTTCAGACTACCGCCTTTTTTATTATGTCACGACCCCACTACTGGCATTGCTACCACCAACAGTGTTGCTATTTGGCAATCTACTATATCTATACAAATACAAATCTATATACGTTCACATCAATAATTGTGCACACTAGCATCATAGTAGCAACATATGCAATTATAAACATTCGAACATAATATGCAATTATAAGTATTGGTTACCAGTATATTAATCGCATAACAAAGTTTTTTTTAAACACACACTAAATACAGCATACATTTTGACCGCGTTCGATAATACCAGTTCAAACCGGTTAACTTCCGTTGTTCATACGAAATAGCGATATCGATATTAATTTAAAACAAAAAACAAATAATTATCAGGATTGTCGCATATATTTTAGGTTTTTTTTGTTGCTACCAGAATCGCTTCTATGGGAATTCGTATGTATGATTCGTATTTTTGACCAACCGATAGTCCAAAATTTGTACCAAAAATTAAAAATGTAATATTTATGTTGAACTTTATGCTTCTGAAATTAAATTTAGTTTATTTATACTATATGAAATATCAAACATTATAAAATATTAATTCAGAGATTACGTTATAAATTTAAAATAAATTTCGCAATAAGCAGCTTTCACTTCAAGGCCGAAAATACCCAATAAGGAGTACGCCGGTTCCGCATCACAGACCGTGTGTTATGCGCCGTTACTTTCACGCACGCACGATTACCAGTTCGCGGGAAAGAGACGAAATATGTTAACAAGCTTTTAGGTCTAGACTGCCGCGAGTAGAAAGTTATTAAGGTATGGTTTGAGCGTGGCCTGTGGTTCGAAGTAAATATTATCACCTTCGATATGTATTACTGATGCTAAGGTGCTGTTAGCGGCCTCGAAGTTTCTAGAGGTTAGGTACCCGTTATTTTGAGTCCTGTCTCAAAGTAAAACAGCTAAATTCACGTTAACATCTACGTGAGACCCTAGTCGTGGCGTTATTACTCGTATAAAAAAACAGGGTGTTGCAAACCAGATAGATAAGGACAGGGTTTGGTAATATTTTGAGCAACGGTAACCATACAGTCCGTAAAAGCAAATGTAAACCTGGTCTATACCTTTAATTGGTTACCGGGATTCGTGATAGTACATTATGAATACCGGCCATTTTGAGACGTTATGCCCGTATATCAATTGCTTTTAAAATAAGGGCTGTTTCATCCTTCAAAATAGATCTCGATAACTACGCAAATTTATCTCTTCTGTCACGTAGTATTTCGTTCGTTCCAGTGCATCTACC